CACGAGGGAACACTACCTTTTGAATATGTTTTACTGAAGAAAATACATTGTTACAAACACTAGCTCAATAAATATTCAGACTCGTATTATGAGTAAAAACGCCGTTTTTAGAAAATAAAAGTCTTCTACTATTTAGAAACACATTTCAAAGTATCAAATATATCACTTAAATAGGCTCGTTCTAGAAATAAATTTTATCCTTAAAGTTATGACTTAGCCAAGAGTGGACTACGCCCAACGCCATTCTATCATCAGTAGAAAGAAAAACGTAATAATTATTATCCGTGACACTATTTTGCATGGATTTCCTCCAAGATTGGAGGGCACTACCATATCATTCGCGATCTTCTAGTTATACCACTACGATAAAGTACAGTAGAATGTATCGACATATTATGAAAGAAAGACATAGTTGTGTAGCAAAAAGAACCAAATACAGTTGACCAAAACAAGTTTATATTGGTTCAAAATGTATCTTGAGCAAGTTGGAAAGACTATAGATGAGCTGATATCGAAGCAATCAATGTGTGAAATCATTTCCTATATCATTTAGTTATACAACATATTTTTTTATTTTTCAGAAGATTTCTGGTAAACCATAGTTTGAGTTTTACTTTTTTCGAACAAAACTATTTTTTCTATTCATCTATTCATATTACTTATTTTCATCACATTTTCATCATCCTATTGCACATTTTTCAGTAATTTCGTTGGCAAAAAGTTTTACGATTGTAGGACAGATATATCGTAGTGAGTACAGCAAAAATCACAGTATAATTCACATACAAATGTCCCATTCTCTTCGATTTACACTGAAACAGTTGATCAGACTGCAATGGAGCACTTAGATATGCCAATTATACGTTAAATTTTTTGCTATACTGATTACAATATAAGTTCTTTTAAGTCTTAAAAATTATTTCCTAAGAATGTACTCAGAAATTTGCATTAGAATGATGGAAATGCAATGAAAGAATTAAATAGATTAGAAAAAACTTTTGCAGAAAAAAAATGCAATTTACGCAAATAAAACGTATCCTAAAGTTATGCTTATATGAACACATCTAATGTGAAAATTTGTATTTATATTTTTTTCAGAATGAAAAATAATTTTTTAACAATCATAAAGAAATAGAATGTCCTGAAAGACGTACGAATACTTTTTTTCCTGTATATGTGTAAGATTTGATCAGTTTCTATTGTCTATTTGTTTCACTCGCTTATTTATTACTATTTTCGATATGAATTAACGTTGAAAATTGTGAATATTAAATTATCAAAAAAAAAACAATGTAGGATTGAATATATTAGAGTTCAACATTGTGAGCAGTAAAAACACGTCTAGCAATAGTACAACGGGAAAGTAACTCCGTTTTTCTTAATCAGTTCGCAAGCGAATAAACAATGTTGATTGAATAGATTTGATTGAAATATGATTGTCTGCTTGCCTATTCATTTAAGGTTAATACACCTTTATAATTATCGCGGCGATCGAAAAATCTTTGTGTTTCTTTCTGCATCCGCTGATTTTGCTCCGAATACATAAAGAAATAGGTTATACATTAAAACTGAGAATATTTTATTTTATTCTTTCCTCTCTTGTATTGCTTCGGTTGTTTCGTATATTTTGTAATTATAGATATTTCCAACCAACCATACGATATGTTGACAATTCTTCTATTGAGTTAGGAGACAGTTTTAAAACACACTCGAGATCAAATTCTCTATCAGAGAAGCAAATAATAATATAAATTTTATGACGGATAAATAGGGAAGATAACGGGTTTTTAAGAGTTTTATTTATCCAATATCTTTTGACAGTGTACTTCAGAATATCTTGAGTCATTATTTCTATAAAATAATTCAGCTTAGCGAGTACTACAGTGCTGAATAGTTTTGATATTATCACGTGGTCATCCTCGGAATATATTTCATGTTCGTGAAAAGTTATTTTAATGATTCAACTATTTATATATCTATTGAAATGTATGTGTATTTATTTTTCTGTTTAGTTCTATTTTGTTCATCTCTGTAATATATCTGTTGACTTTTTCATTCGTTTGTTTGGGTGGACCATCGATCTAATCATTTATTCTTTATATGGTAGTGTAATTTTTCTTTTTTTACTTGTAGTAATAATCCAATTTGTATTTGTAACCTTTTTATTTCTATTCATACATTGCTTAAAATATTTTTTGACAATTTTATTGCATTTGATTTTCGTATAGTTATTGAAGAATTATATAGTTAGTAGATCGGCAACTTAAACGAATGGCTGAGTACGTGTTAGTTTTTAATTTTTTATTGCTTTCATCAAAATCTTTCACTCCGATATAGGCAATGAGCATACACGTGCAGTCATCAAACGTTCCCAATACTGTTGTTCTGTCATCTTTGTATTTATTGTTGAGAGCAAAATAGAATTGTCATCATTTTAGTTTTCCTGATTATATCAACACAGATGAGGAAGAAGTGAATATCTATAGTTGAATACCATTAATAAATTTCGATTATATATATAGACGTTAAGATCCAATGTCAAATTGACCTAGACCACTCTTGACTCGACTAACATATGACATCAAAGTAAAAGCTCGCCATGGCGGCATATGAAATTTTATGTTCAACAAAATACAATACTTAATCATAAGCCACTGATACCAAAAAGGATCAACGAAAAATGTGTCTCTTGATATACTTCTTTTCTTTATTTCACACCCATATCCATTATCGAGATGTAAACTAGTACCCTACACACGGGTACGACTTTTTGTACTCCAAGGCGACCTACTCCCTTTTTTTACCTAAGCCCAATCCCGATGCGTCTGTCTTATACTTGGAATCGAATTGCACTCGGATGCTGTACCCAAAATCCAATCGGACTCGGTCCAGAACTAATCGATATCCAGAAGACATTTCAATCATAGTACAGCTTTCAAACTTTTACTTTATACCAATAAGTGTGCTGTTTAGTTTCTTCTATAAGTAGCAAGAAAAAAAAGTTTGATCTCAAATTCGATAAAAAGACGAGTGAACAACGATATATTTAATAGTTTTCTACTTCTGAAATCTGCTCAATTTCGTCAATTAACTGTTTGCTTATCGCTCGTGAAATCACAATGGAACGTAGTATTGACGTTCCATAGCCATACTTATTAATACATATGTGAATGCGTTTTCCAACATGAAAATACATGTTCATCTTTTTGAAAGCTAAATCTCCTCTAATTATTTTCAATTATTAGATCATATGTTGTCTCAGCATTTGTAGATAAGTTTTCAATAAAAACGAATTCTCCTAGTAAAATTAATATAGCTTCTCATTCCGTTGATATATTTTCAAGTTCAGTCTATTGTTCGGTCATAATCGGACCGGCTTTCGATACTATAGTTTTATTTTAAGAGTAGTTCGAAAAAGTCAAAATTCTTTAAAACATTAAGATTTGATTAGCTGCAGGTTTGGGTCCGATTATAATCTCAAATCAGAACCCAACCGGACAATATTTTTCATATCTGGTAATCGATACGATCCGGTTGTAGGACACTAATTTAAATTAACTTGTTTACTTTTTTGCAGCTTGCTTTAGGTTGAACGGCAATTCGATTTTATTCACATTTTTCTATTTTCAGCTTTTATTGAATACATTCTTTGGATTAAACCAACATCTTCGGATGCAAAATAATATATTTAGTCTTGAATTCAAAATTGGCCTAGCCAAAATTCAAGATTATCCATATTAGCCTTTTAATACGCCATTGACCTATGCGTATCTGAGATTCACCTAAAATTTTCAAGAGATTCACATACATATCAAACCTGGCAGTCGAATTCAACTATTGAGTTATGCAATAATTGAAGTGAACATTGTTATAACTATTCAGTAATTGAGTGGCACGAAAATAGACACACGTCTCACTCGATGTGAGTACCATGAAAACAGAATAGTTAAATATCTGAAAAGTTCTTCAACATTTGAATTCAATTCTCAAACTCGACATAACTGGCGAATTCTAGATTGGACACTGACATGCATATATGGTATTTCCTACGTTTCATGTTATTTTTAATTGTTTTATAGCTTTCGAACATGGAAAGTTGAACAGAAAGAAGATACATGTTTCAAAGTAACATTTAAGTTATCATTCAAAATTTGTTGTACTCAACTGACATCCTTATTAAGAGAGTATGTTATTAATAAAAATGTTAATATAATATTCTCAAATTTGTTTCTCAATTTTTTTTGATTATATTTTTATCTTAGTCATGTAAAAAAATCTACGTCTAAACCTATGTTAACACTAGACTTCATAAGAACAAAATCATAAATGTAACTCACAGTGATTGTGCGATGGATATTTCTCTCGTCCCAACAGAACAAAGAATAGAGAATAAATTTGATAAATATACTTTAGCATGTTTTTTAATTACACACTTTCTTGATAATGACATCAATTGAGTATAGTCAATTTTGAATGATAGTTCAGATGTTACAGATATATAATTTTTTTTAATCGTCGTCTTACTCTATATAATCGAAAAATATAAAGAAATGAACTCAAAATAACCCAAATTTTATGAAACAATCTTAATACATGTTATTTTCACAGAACATGCAATAGTTACATGAGACTCTTAAAGATAAAAATAATAACTTTTATTATATATCATCACATGTTACTAAACACGTTCGATTTTGAATTGATTGTTCCCACTGTAGATGCAATTGACTCAAAAATCAAACACATTGAATTTCATGAATGAAATTGTAAAAAGTGCACTTTTGAATGATTTTATTTTTGATAACATCTAAACGTGATTTTACAAGTATTGTTTTTTTATTATTTGTCTAATATGGCAAAATAATTCAAAAGTATGAATAATTGTCTACGATTTTATTGAAGAAATTCGTCTTAGAACTATAAGATTTCAAGTTTTGCTTTCTTTTCAGATTATTTCTTTATAAATAAATAGCAATATCTTAGAAAATATAAAATACATAATGTTTTCTAATAGAAGAATTAAAAAACGACCGAATCGTTTATGTTGTTTTATTATTATTCTTTTTATATTCTTTTTATTAATTTTAAAATATGCCTACAAATTATCACCATTTTATCCAAGTCAATCAAAAAATTGTTCTCAACTATGTCCTTATTCAAGTATATTAAGCAATGATACATTACAATTCGATTCAACACATTTTATTCGACATTTTCCAGACTTTGTTTGTCCACAAAATTTTCGAAATCTTGCTGATTGGGTATACGGTTGGCCTAATCAATTTCATGAACATTTAAAACAAACAACTAATCAAGGAATAAAAATTGCTCCTTGTCTACCACCTGGTAGTATAATTTATGTTCGTATATGGGTAATAAATGAATTCTTCGATCAAGTTTATCCTCATTTACAAAATAAATTTGTACTAGTTACTGGTGAAGGTGATTTATCATCACCAATTCACATGGAAATTCTCGAAAGTTCTAATTCAAAAATAATTCATTGGTTTGGACAAAATGGACAATATGATGTATCAAGAAGTAAAAAATTTACTCATATACCAATTGGTAATCTATTGACATGAGTATTTTGTTTTTGTTAAGATAAATAGACTAGTCATAGAAAGATTGTCTATTGACTTGAAATTGAATAATATTGTCTGCACTATAATCATTTCTTCACATTCATAATATGTACAAGAGCAAATTAATTGAACTACTATTAGAACAATAGGCAAATATATTTTTATCGATGATTTTTTTTTCAGGCATTAATTGTTATGAAATGGCTGATGCTATTCAAAATGTATATTCGCAACAACAAAATCATACAATTCCTTCAATATTCAAAGAGTTAGATGAACCATCCAGTTATATTCAACCACAAGATGTATCACATCGTGCATTAACTACAAAAATAAAAAAAGAAAATTTAGTATTAATTAATTTTGATAAAGGTACTGATAAAAGTGGTCTTCGTTCACGTATTTGGAAGAGCATGTGTACAAGTAAAAATCGAGCTAACTATACATTTATAAAATGTATTGGTAAGCCAGGTGGTGTTCAAATAGAAGAGTTACCAAAACTATATGAACGTAATCGTCAATATCCATTTTGGTTATCACCACGTGGTAATGGTATTGATTGTCATCGAACATGGGAAGCACTTTATCTTGATATAATACCAATTGTATGGAATAATTCATTAAATGTTCTCTATGAAAATTTGCCTGTTTTAATTATAAATGGTTATGAAGAATTGAATGAAAAATTTTTATATGAGAAATTAAATGAAATATCGAAAAAGAAATTATCAAAAAATAATGTATATCAATATGAAAAACTACGTAATGCTTACTGGCGTCGTTTAATATTAAATAAATCAAGACATCGAAATAAAAAAAGCCTGCATCAACGAACAAAGCGATGTTGGAGTGCAAAAAGTACAGTTAATTGGAAGCAATTTTTATCTCATTAATAAAAAATTAAAATTAGTATTTAAATAAATATTTGACAAGAATGTCACTTTAGGTTTTTTTTTATATAAGCTGCAATAAACTAAATAAACCATATCTATACAATATTTTTAGTCGTTTCTTTTTCAAAATATCAATCACTATATACAATCAATTGAGCTAACTTAGTTCAGTATTCTTTTCATTGCTTTTAAACGTCTTATAACTTCATATTCTAAGAATCAATGTTCAGATACGAAGATGTAGAATTTTAGGTACTTAGAGAGCCATAAGCTCATTGCAACTCATTAAAGTTTTCACTAATTATGCTAGAAAAACAGTAGTTTTATTTAGCAAATGAATGTTGCTACAATCTTCGAACCTTCTTATTCTCAGAAAAACAAATGATTTCTGTCGTACACGGAAAAACGTATTCTTTTTCGGTTAAGTCAGACAAAATAAACATTAGTTGATATGAACTTCATGTTTAATCGTTTTGGAATGTACCTTGCCCAAGAATTGGAATTAGTTATTATAAAATTATTAATTTTTGCACCTATTAACCTAAATTAATAAGTCAATTTTAATTTTTTCAAGTTCAATTTCAAATCAAAAATCAGACTAGCACATAGTATATTCCTCATCGATATACCTTCATATATTTGATTGATATTCCGAAGAAAAGTGACAAATGATACTGTAAATAACAATGAATGGTAGAGAAATTAACAATTCATATATTATGGTTTCTGATTATATGGTACATGGCATCATTTAAATCTTATGGTTCAACTTCTTGAAAACGAAATGTCTATCAACAACTCATGAATTACATGCGGTAAATCGAATTCAGTGACTCATGTAAGCTTAACAATAATTGTAAGTCTAATTTTCAAATTCTGTAGGTAGCATGCCACTAAAATTTATCGTTGGCTAAAATAATAGTTATGAAGATTACATATGGAACTATTTTATGAAAATAGGTGTTACAAAATTTTAATAATATATTGTTATTGTATAAACAGACAACAATTAGTTTATTTCACCTTTTTAAAAACATTTATACTTACGAAATCAAACATAGTTGTACATATATTTAATATACTATGTAAAAGTCTTTGACAAAAATATCGAGATTTATTTCTCAACAATACAGCAGCAAACTGATTTCAAATTTTTTGGCTTGAAATAGAAAGATTTCGAGAGGGATATACATGAGGCAAGAAATTATTCATCTATTTCTGTTCGAGAGCATTTTTTCTATTAATCTGAAAACGCCCTTGCAACAACTGAAAACAATAAACTGGCAATTATTATGAGCTTTATATTGACGAGCTGTGATCAAAATATACTGTCAGATAGAGCTAAAAAGACTATATCAAAAAAATTAATTTTGAAAAATTTCTATTTGCTTCTCAGAGCTTTTGCGAATTCACTTTCTTTTTTTCCATTTTATAATTTTTATCAAATCAATATTCTAGCGAAAGGAACATTAAGAAAAGAGTATTCTAATCGATATTGTAAGCAAAACAAATTTCTAAATAGATAAAATATTAGAGATTGAGAAGTTTTATTCATGATTAGTTTAACTCAAAGTTTGAAAGAGGTGAAGTCACCAAGTTAGCAACTGTAAACATCAAAAGATTAAGTTGCAAAAGATATTTTGAGAATTGCTCAGTCTTTGACTTTAATCATAATAAAACCAAAGTAAAAAATTTGAACAATACAGGAGTGTTTCATTTGTCGGACTCTCCTCTTGTCAACAACAACAAAACTCAAATCAATTCGATGTTCGACTGTTCAGAAGTAAGTATCGATATTTCTCTAAAGACTTTTGCATTCCACATCATTATAAATATATTCATATATGTATGATTGTTTTTTCCTTATAAAATAAGAATGGACTAAAAAAACAATAACTTGTCCTCTTGACAACACCTACGATGATAGCTCAACGATAGAAAAATAAAAAGATGAAATTATAAAATAAATGAACATTATTATAGAATCACATGTTGTGTTTTTTTAATCTCTTTTTGATTTAACAAATAATATAGTTTGCTCATTCTCAATGCACAATAAAAATAACCATCCCATTTAAACAGATGCAAAAAAAAAGAACAAACAACAAGAATTACAAATAATAACATTGCCAACAAATCCTAAACCATTTTAAAAGTAAAACAAAAAAAAAGTAAAAAGAAAAACAATTACAGTCTAATCTAGTTTTTTAGTTTTGTTAAAAAATCAGAGGACTATTTGTTTTGTTTCTTTTATTAATTTGTTGTTTTAACTTCTGGAGTAACACCAAGTAGTTTAGTCAATGGAGGAACTGTTGATGATGATCCATTCGATGTTGATGTTTTATATTTTGGAAAAGTCAAACCAAAACGTGTTTCAATGCCTAAGAAAGCGAAAAAAATCTTTTTTTTTTTGTCAATAATATAAGCATAAAATTTTAACCTTCAAATGTTGCTTGAGCTAAATGAAATCCACCTATATGATCGGGATTACTTGAAAATATAATTGATGCTCGTGATTTAGGTGAATATTGTTTTTGATCAACATGTTTTGAGCCTTCTAATTTTCTACCTTGAAAATCAAAATTTAATGCACGTTGAAGAAGTTCATATGTGAGTAATGTAAAACCAAATTGTGGTGATGAACGAAGCATACGTGCACCAGCACCTAAATTTTATATAAATACCAAACAAATTAAAAAAAAAAAAGAAAAAGAATTATTTTATTTCAATTCTAGAATTACCTTTCCAAAAAGCTGTCCATCCTTCTTCAATATAAATTTTTTTAAATGCATCTATCAAACCATTATATTTTGTTTGTCCTTTTCTTGCTTGAACTTGTAAACGTGTTTTAACAACATCAGCTGGTGTACATAGGCCAGCAGCTGGTATACCAGCAAGAAGACCAGAAAAAAATAAACTTTTTGGATCATTATAACCATGTTCATCAGCAAAATGTTTCTTTGTATGAGCATATGCAGGAAAATAAATAGCTGAAAATGGAATGTCACGAAGAAAACATGCACGAGCACCTTTATATAAACCACGAAAACCAAGTTCACGTACAACTTCACTTGCTGCTGGACGACGAACAGATTGAATTTCACCAGCAACTTGTAAACGAATTTTTACTATTTCTAATGGATTCGTAAATGTTACCTAAATTTAAAAATGTTAATAAGAACAAAAAAAAAAGACTAAAAGAAATTTCAGTACTTGAGATGCACCAGCACATCCACCAGCAAGAATCTCAGCCCAAAGTGGAATGGTACCATCAGCTAATGTTAATCTATCACGAATAAAATCATTCACAGTTAATTTAATAGCCTTTTCAGGCGCGACACCAACTAGTTGGGGAATTAAACCTAAAATGACATATTATTGTTTGAATTTTTCTCAAATCTTCTTCATTTTTTTTTACCTCGATATAAACCAAATACACCTTCATGTCGAATAACTTTTTTAAAACAATCAAAAGAATTGCGATAAAGACGTTCACCAACAATACTTGTAGATCGTTGATTTTGCATACGAGTTTTTACTTAAGAAATAAAAATTCAGTTGATTTATTTTTTTTTTTTTTTAATATCAACAAATATTCGTACCAAGATCAATAGGATAAACAGCCGTAGCACCAACAGCACCAGCAATACTACCTACATAAAATTTTTATTTATTAATAAATTTTATTATAAATATTTCTTTTTACCAAGTGTAAATCGATAACCACTTTCAAGAATTTTCATTAAAATACTTTGATGTTCAATTTTATAATGTTCATCAACAATTTCTGATCGTAATCGATATGGTAATAAATGTTCATGTGCCGATATTGTATCAATATCATTTAATTCAATATATTCAGTTTTAATATCTTTACTTACAGTATTTTGATGTAATACATGTGTTATAGCAAATAAAATATCTATTTGTAATGGTGTTGTACGTGGAAAATGTTGTGCTTCAGTTAAAAATTCTTCTTTTGTTATATGTGATGATTTATATATATATGCTTTTTTTTCACATACAGCTAAATAAATTTTTCTCATTGATTCAATATTTGATAATAATTGTAAAAATGCTGTAAAATATGGATATGATATTCTATTTGATATCATTGTCGATGATGATAATTTAACAATATCAGGTAAATGTGTTGAAATAAAATCTGATAATTGATATTGTCGTAATTCTTTAAGTATAATTTCAAAATTTTTTAATGATATATAACCATCATTTGTTTTATCAAGTTTACGAAATGTTTGAATTGTTTGTTCATCAATAAAATCTAAAATAAGTATTTTATTTTACTAAAAATAAAATTACAATTTATGTGATGTGTTTTTCCTACCAAGTAATATTTGTGTAAATTCTTTATATGTTATTTGTCGTTGTCGTTTAACACCAAAATGCATTCGAACAAAATCCGAATCAAAATTAAATGGAAATTCTTTAAATTGTTTTGTTGCTGATATTATATGTTGAAAATCATCAAATGTTATAAAACCTTGTCCACGACGATCAAATAATTGAAAAGCAAGACGATATAATGAATCTGATTCTAATAATAATGATTCAAAATTAATAAATTCATCTATTGTTATTCCTATTAAAGAACAAGAAAAAAAAATCCATTTATCAATGTTTTTTTAAATTTTTTTAACAACGAACTTTGATTCTTATTCATATCAACTAATGATGCAAGTATATCAAGTGTTGTTGGATCAATATTGTCACCTTTTAAATAACCTAAATAATCTTGTAAAAATTCATGTGGTGTCATATAACGTTCACCAAGATGTTCATGACGAGCATAACGATTAAATACAGATGAAATTGCATCTTGATTAGCAGATGAAATTTGTCGTACTAAAAGAAAATATTTTTAATTAAAAAAAATTTTTTTGTTTCTTACAGTTATAGTTACCTTTAATGGGATCCTTTTTGTTAGGTGCCATGCTTTGTTGATATTATATATTGTGTTAAACGACACAAAATGAGAA